TAATTGTTTCTCGTTCATCCAATTCACTTACACTGGATAATTTTTCGGATCACCGCTTGTGCCACTTGTATTTGTTAATGCAATTGGATAGCCAACACTTATAATATCTTTACTATTACCATTATTCATAATTTCATCAACATATGGTTTATAATCAGAATATTTTGTAAATTTTGGAAATAATTTTCTAAGTAGCACAGATATTTCAAGATTTAAATAGAATAAAATCCTTGTGTCGATCAAACTTACTTAAACTGTTCAATATTTTTAATGTTCTCTTCATCACCATCTAGTTTGGATTTCTTACATTGATCTTTTAAAAATTTTGTATTTTTATTTTGTTTTAATAAGTTAAATAATGTTTTTTGATTTATGTTTTGTTTAGTTGCATATTTTGCATCCAAATTAAATCGAATACCTTTGTATTGAATTAATACAAATTGATAGAGTAATAAAACTTTATCAATAAACCACGAACACCACAACCACATTTCTATGTTACTATGCAATGTGAACTGAACAAGCTTTTCTCTAAAAGGTAATAGAATAGAATAATCATCAAGTTGCCGACGCATTGTATGTCGCTAGTTTATCGGAATGTATCAAATTAGACAACGTAACAGCTGTTAATCTATGAACTTCCGCTATTTTGAAAATAAATTATATTGCTAGTAGCTCGATTTATTTAAAAATTTATTTAAAACATTAGCGCCTCGCTGCATTTTCGGGCAAATCAATCGAATTATGACGAACGAAACAGATTCTCAAAATGTAATTGGTTGGTCCGGAAATGCAGCGAGAAGCTAATGCTTTAGCAAAAACCGAGATATCTCTGCTGGCACAAGATATATATGTGCAAACTTTACCATACACGTGTCTTAAAAGAACAAAGAAGAAGAGACAAGAAGTGTCTCTCGTGTTCCCTTATCAGTTATGAATGCTGCAGGGTGTAAATACAGCTAAAAATTTGTTATATGACCCTGCTTATATTTAGTTTCAGTAGACAGACGGATGCAATATGATTTTCATCTTGGATCTGTATTCTGCAGTGCAGTGTCATATCTATTCCACCAAAGGTAAAAATAGTTTTCTTTTTTAGCGTACTTTTATCTTTTCGTAATGTAACATGCAGATTATTCCTTCCTTTCTCTAGTCTGAGATACAGATATCTGCACGTGACATAAAGAAACAGATAAAAGTACGCTAAAAGAGAAAATTCTAATGACTGTTGATAACAAACGAAAATGAATCAAATTTGCAGTATTTCAGATGTCTTCTCATCAAATTTTCTGTGATAGGTAACTGTCTTAAACGGATTTGACAAGGGAGGACAGTAACCTGCTGTCAAGGACTCATCCGAATCAAAAAAGAGTCAGAACCAGGGATCCCAAATCTAAAAGACGGAAATGAGAAAAGAAACTTCAAAATCAGACAAAAATCAGAAAAACAAGTTGGAAATCAGAAAAAAAATCAGAACGTTGTTTGTTCTCATACCCAATTTAAAACTTTAGAAAAAAAGTATAAATCAAATTTTCGTTCAATATCAAACAGAAATTCTAAAATAAGAAAAAATTCCAAAAATAAGAAAAAATTCCAAAAATAAGAAAATAAGAAACGAGGCAGAAAAGTCTCAAAATAAGACTTTTCCTGTTAAAATCAGACGATCTGGGATCCTTGGTCAGAACAGAACCACTTTTATAGCTTGTTTTATCAACTTTTTCTCCTCGTATATTCAATAAACGTTGAACGAACGAAACAAAAACAACGTTTAACTTATTCTTTCTCATTCTTCACACAGTCGAAGAGAAAAAAAGATTATAAAGATAAGGCGCCGCTAATTCAACACTCAAGTGGAAGAGCTATCGAATTTGCAAACACATATTCTGATTCATCCAACGCTGTTGATCACGAATCTGACCTTATTTTGTCGATTTGACCGAGTTTTGTCATGTAGAAGTGGTTTTTTTCCCACGTAGAGAACTGCTATTATGGTTTTCTAGGTAAAAAGCAATGCTGAATACGTTAGAAATGTGTTTGAGAGGTTTGGAGTTTTCCAAGTAGGTTTTGCAAAACAACAGGTCTTATTTTGCTCAAAACTCGATGCGCGTTCGGATGCGATGTCTCATGAAGGGTCGTAGAGTAATGACGAGGTTTAGCGAAAAACCGACTCTCTGGAAATCTCTCAGAACGTTTCGGAATTCCACTATCCGAAATGTTGCATCTGAACGCGCATCGAACAACAAACCTCTCAAACACATTTCTAACGTATTCAGCATTGCTTTTACCTGGAATACCATAATAGCAGTTCTGTAGGTGGAAATATCACTGAGTTATGGGCTCAACATCTGAAGGATTTTTCGGAAAACTCGCACTTTTTCAGTCTTTTCCTAATTTCTCCTAAAAGGAAAAAGGTTCTGAAAAAAACGAAGCATACTTTTGTGGAGCAGGGCAACGCGAATCTTCTGGCGTATGAAAGAAGTCTCTAGCTCTCATGGCAAAAAACTAGATAGGATTGCGCGGCAAGAGCCTCGTGATGAGTGTTTGATCAGCTACAAGAGTTTAAGTCTTGAAAAAAAGTCATCGAATGACAAGTGCCTAGATGTACTTCGCGATGCAGAACCCGAAAATCGCATCGATGAGATGGAAAAATGAAAAGGTCAGGAACTAATCGAGATTTTTCCGAAACTCGTTTTTTCGAGGTTTTTGACGCCTTCGCAGTATTTTGAGGTTTTCTGCATGAAAACTCGGTCAAATCGATAAAATAAGGTCAGATTCATGATCAGCAGCGTTCGATGAATCAGAATATGTGTTTGAAGATTCGACAGCTCTTCCACTTGAGTGCTGAATTAGCGAGGCCTTATATGAGTGATTCTCTTGATTTTTGTACCGTTTTTAAAGAAAAAAATGATCCAAAATGAAAGTGTTTAGAAAAATATTTTAACACTGTAGGTTTATAGAGGGTACTTGAAAGTCTCGAAAAAACTCTGTTTCCAAACCACAAAGAGCTTCTGAGCCAAAATCCTGGTTGTTTACTTTTTGACTCAGGATCGAAAATGCGATTTTCTCTTCTTTTCAACTAAACATAATTAAGCTTAAAAATGTATTGAAACATAGGTTTCACATCTGTTCTATCAACTGGCATCCTTAAAAAATGCTTTTGGACAATTTCTAAGCTTAGGCCTCTAGAAATTCAGGTTTTCTGAAAATCCTTTGTTGAGCTGGTTTTCAGAAAACTGAGCCGATCGCTCGATTCAGGGCGTCAAAATACGTATAATCGTAAAACTTGAGGCTATATGTGCTAGCCATTGCAATTCTAGAGATATGTGTGGGGATGGAACATTCTAATGTATTTTTCAAATTTCTTCCTTTAGAAATAAGTTGAAGCCTTTGTATTTACCGCATAACTTGTGCTACTCGCTTGACATATATGGTAAAAAAACGAGTTCTTAATTCCTTGTAGTTTGCTCAGGAGAGAATCAGAACAGGTAGGACAAATTGTATGTCACAAGCCGCTGGACGCCAGTAAAATGTCAATTACTCAAAAACGAAAAAGCTACTAGCTTGCGGTTTTCAACAGTCTATAGTGCCTACTTTGGTGAACTTTTTCATGGAAAAACATTTGAGTTAACATGCTTATTGGCCACGCAGTAGACTCAAAAGAGGGTGGGACACGATTTTTAAATTTTTCGAGGACCACAAATTCCATCGAAGTTTCCACAGAAACTAAAAACGATTAGGCAAAACTAAGAGTACAGATTAACAGAGCAGATAAAATACTGCACAAAAAGCACAAAAGGTTTTGTTTCGCCCCTCCTTAAAAGAAGAAAAATCTTAATTAAGAAAAAAGAACGTGCAGGAATCACTAAGAAAAGAAAGGAAAAAGAACCCAAAAACAAAGTGTTTTGCTTACTGTATACTAAGGAAATGAGACAGAAAATAGACCATAGCAGTAGATATAGAGTAAAGTGTCCGGAATAAAATGGCATAAGCTTTCAAAAGTCTGATTTAGTATTAACGGAGACCATGCAGGTCCATTAGCTTAGGTCGAACGGTACAAAAATCACCAGAATCAGTCATATATATCGTACATACGCAAGAAGAGATATCTTCGTTTTTAGAATTTATCGACTGTTTCACTGCTATATAGAAGAAATATACATGATACTTTTCCTTACTTATTTTATTATGACAAAATACAACAACTTCCAGCACTATTACTCTGTAGTACTGCTATATATAATTGTCTTCCTTCACACCGCTCTCGTTTTCTTTCTTTTCACATCCAGATACACACATACACACAAGTTAAGTAATACATACCACATATATATCTATATATAACTTTCTGCAAGTGTAGAACACAAAACGCGACACACACTGAAAATTTGCGTTCAACACGCGTTAAATTCGTTTCAATTGAGACTTAAACACGAAAAATTCGGTCCCGTTCGCGAGTCTTCAAGTCTATTGCGCTTGAAAACGCGTTTCTAAAAAGTTATGATGGTCATAAACACGTTTCTCGCGAAATATTGATGGCAAAAACGCGGTTTGGAGTAGGGCGTATATTTAAAGCTCCAGAAATTCGCCGTATTCATGCTGAAACTGTATATTCTCGCGCTCTATGAATGCTAAAACTGCGTTAAAACGAATTTTCAATGTTTCAAAATTTTCAAAACGAAGTTTCACCGCTATATAGAAGAAATATACATGTTACTTTTCCTTACTTATTTTATTATGACAAAATACAACAACTTCCAGCACTATTACTCTGTAGTACTGCTATACATAATTGTCTTCCTTTACTCCGCTCTCGTTTTCTTTCTTTTCACATCCAAATATACACACACACACAAGTTAAGTAATATATACCACATATATATCTACAAACAAAAATTCGAAAATAAATTATGAGAAAAATGATAAGAAATGCCAAAGTAGTGGGTGGTGATAAGAGAAGGAATGCCATTCTCAAGGTATATATAGAATAACAACTGGAAAGAGAATAACTATAGAGACTAAGTATGAGCGGTAAAAGTAAAAACGTGTCACCGTTACCAATGCTTCGGTAACAACTTCAGATTTTTACCGCGGTAATTTGAACCGGTAAAAAATCTCAAACTTTTACCGCGGTAAGCTTATCGACGACTACAGAGTTTTTGATAATGTGTATATGTTATTTTTGAAACTGCGATTAATAGGTTTATTCATGTTTATTCGTTCAACTATCACTCACTTTCTCATAAGAAATCTTATCGTCCGCTATTAGTTTTTGTTTCTGTTTTGTTATGCTTATCATGGCTTTGGTCTGAGATTTTAAAGAGCGTTTTATACCTTCCTAGCCATATTATTGAATAGTATGTCTGTATATAACAAGTCGTTATTCACGAGAACAGTTGAACATAACGGTATACCAACATTTGGGCGCACAATGTATTACACGACAGTTGGGTGAGTTACTTCTGTTTGCTTTTGTCGTAGACGCGCCCAATGT